AAGCCACCCCGCCTCCCTGTGCCACACCTTTCTGCACCTCGTTCGGGGCAGAGAGGGCCAGTGACGGGTGCCCAGGGCACAGCAGCCGAGGGGTGACCTGCACCTTCGGCGACGCGAGCGGAGGAGGGGACACCAGCCATCCTCACCACCTCCGACGCGCAGGCGTGGCCATGGCAAGCTTTCGCGACCTCCAGCAGCTGGAGCTGCAAGGCGCCAGCCGGGGCCCCCCCCCATGGCGAGCGCCAAACTGTGGCACGTGGCGAGCTGGCTGCCCTCCTGTTGGCTTTGACGGTCTCCTGTGGGAGACCCCATCCGTGCCACCGACTGCGAGGGCATCTGCTTGAACTTCTGCAGCGGGCCCCCCCAGGCGGCCCGTGGGGCCCGATGCAGACCTCTGGCACGAGATCGGCCGCCGCTTGGGTTCCCGTGGAGATTGGTTTGCCGTCGTGTGGACCGGGTCGCGCCAGACAAGGCTGCTCCTATCGTTTTCTTTGTCGTGCACGGTAACACAGCCGCAAACGATCTGGCCGCTCTCGCGGCAACCGAACATCGAGTGGGCAAAGCCGTGCGACAAAACATTCAGGTTGTAGTGCACCGTGCTTTTCTTACCAGGCCGAGGCTCCTCAAGGTCCACCACATAGAGGCCTCGGAGTTCGAGCGCCAGTGAGAGATCCAAGCTGGCAGGCTGGGGGCCGGGCCCCGGCGGGCCGCCCAGAGACCCGTCCGAGGCCCCGCCCCATCTTTCTGTTGTTTCCGCCTCTGCCCACCAGCTCGACGACAGTGGTCGAAAGCGTCGGGCATGTAGAGGCTCCTCAACTCTAGCGAGACGTGCCGAATGGTACCGTAGTGAATGTTGCAACCTTGTAGCACGTAGGTGGCACTTCTGTGAGACCTCCCTCGTTAAGCAGATCCATGCTTGGGGGGGTTGGGCTCACTTAGCCCACGACATAAGTTTCCACGCTGGGCTGGAAACTTGGTTTTGCGCTAGGTGCGGGGTGTACGCCTCCCAATGACTCAGGGAGTTAGTCGTCCCGTGTGACACACCTATCGCCACTGGGCGCGAGTATCTTCGGCGTCTCGCTTCGGGGCTCCTGGCCCAGGGTGCTCAGCCAGGCCGAGACCGTCCAGAGAAGTGAGCGGGCCATAGCACCGCAGCAGGTGCTCAGCGCGTATCGCTTAGCGGTCAGGAAGAATCCCAGAGGTGCTCCCTCCCGGCTCCCCCCTCCTCCCTCGTCCTGCCGCCCTCTTCCCTGTTCCCTCCGGTCTCCTGCTTCTCCGGTTGTTGCTTCCCGTGTTTCCGTTCCTCTCTCGCCTCATTTGGTTCTTCAGCAGCAGATGGGGGAGCGGAGAGGCATGCTGATATTGCTCTTGCTTCTCTCTCCGTCTTTCCGTGTCTCTCTCTCTCTCTCTCTCTCGCTCCCTTTCTCCATGTTCAAGGGAGCCTGTCTGACAAGTAAGCGCTGCTGTTGGAATGAAGCAACTCTTCGTCTGCCTCCTGCTCCTCATTCTTCCCCCTCCTCGTGCTCTCTCTCTCCTTCCCTCCCTCTCTCCTCTCCTCGTTCCCCCCCCCGAAGGCAAGTCGAAGATGGGCTGCCTGGAGACGATGCACCCCGCGCGCGAGCCGGCGGGGGGGGGAGTTTCCTCGCGGATTACGATGACGATGAGGGTGGTGAGGATGATGATGATGATGATGATGATGATGATGATGATGATGATGATGATGATGATGATGATGATGATGGTGACGAGGTAATGGTGATGGCGATGAGGCTGATGATGGTGTTGATGATGGTGACGATGCCGGTGGCACTGTTGCGGAGGATGGTGATGACGACGATGATGATGCTGATGATGATGGCCACGGCGATGGTGATGCTGCTGATGACGACGACGATAATGATGATGATGATGATGATGATGATGATGATGATGATGATGATGATGATGATGATGATGATGATGATGATGCAGATGACGATGATGATGCTGATGATGACGACGAGGATGATGATGATTCTGATGATGATGAGCATAATGATGCTGCTGATGATGATGCTGATGTGATGATTATAATACTGATGATAATGATATGATGCATATGCAGAGAATGATGCTGATTTGGATTGATATGATGATGAAGTGATGATGATGATGATGATGATGATTATGATGATCATGAATGATGATGATGATTATGGATGCTGATGATCATGATGATTATGGCGATAACGATGACACAATGATGGACGATGAAGCGATGCGCGCTTATGATTTTCTGATGAAGATTATGCTGAATCTCTAAATGCAGATGGTGATGGGAGGCTGATGATGAAGAGATGACCGGAATGATATGCCTGATGATGAGTTTGATTTTGAAGTGATGATGATGAAGGGGATGATGCTGGTGAGGGTGACCGTGATGCTGATGCTGGTGATGATCTGTTGTTGTTGTTGTTGTTTTTTGTTGGTGTTGTTTGTTGTGGTTGTTGTTGTTGTTGTTGTTGTTGTTGTTGCTGCTGTTGCTGCTGTTGTTTCGTCGTTTTTTTTTTTTTTTTTTTTTTTTTTTTTGTTCTTTTTGTTTTGTTTTGTGTTTCTTCTTTTGTTTGTCAATTTCCGGTCTAACCCGAGTCGTTGGACCCGTTCTCTTTGCGGGTGGCCCGTTCATTTGGCGTCCGTCCCTGGTCTCCCCGCCCGGCCACCCCCCCCTCCCTCGGCGCCCCCTCCCTGGGCTTCGGTGCTCGGGGGCGGAAAAGAGGGGGTGATGACTAGTGGGGGGTGGATATCATGGCGTGGGCCATGATATTTCCCCAGATTTCACGGCGCCTCTTCTTATTTCATTACGTCCCTGGCCCCCCCGCTGGGCCGCGCACATGCCGACGGTCATGATTTACACCCCCCCCTCTTGGACACCCCCCTCTTGGCCGCTCCCGAGGGGCTCGTCTTGGGGACCTTCCTCGGGCCCACCTGACGGATCTGTTCGATTCAGGCTCGACCCAGTTCGACTCGGGTCGGCTCAATTTTTCGCCCAAAATCCGCCGGTAGGGGGACATGCCCGACCTAGCCCTAGCATCCCCTCAACAGCGGCCAGGACGGTCCGTCCTGGCCGGCCTCTCGGGCTGCTCCCGGCCGCGGCGAGGCGCGGGATTCCGCTGGGGTCCGAGGCGAGGAGCTGCTCAGAGCAACCGCCGGTGGGCCCGGACGTGTTCGGGCCCCGGGGGCCAGAGTGTATCCACAGCCACCACCGCATCGGTTCCTGGGCGGTGGACGTGGATAAGTCTCCCTCCTCCTCCTCCTCCTCCTCCTCCTCCTCCTCCTCCTCCCCTCCCTCCCTCGCCCACTTCCGCCCCATCCGCTCTCCTATCTCTCCGATTATTCCCCCTCCTCTCCCTCCTCCTCCGTCTCCTCCTTCCTCCTCCTCCTCCTCCCCGCCTCCTCCTCCTCCCCTCCTCCTCCTCCTCCTCCTGTTCCTCCTCCTCCTCCTCCTCCCTCCTACTCCTCCTCCTCCTCCTCTCCTCCTCCCCCTCCTCCTCCTCCTCCTCCTCCTCCTCCTCCTCCTCCTCCTCCTCCTCCTCCCTCCTCCCCTCCTCCTCCTCTCCTCCCCCTCCCTCCTGCTTCCCTCCTCCCTCCTCCCTCCTCCTCCTGGCCCTGCTCCCCTCCTCCTCCTCCTCCTCCATCCTCCTCCTCCTCCTCCTCCTCCTCCTCCTCCTCTTCCTCTCTGCTCCCTCCTTCCTCCTCCCTCTCCCTCCTCCCTCCTCCCTCCTCCATTCCTCTCGAGCCTCGATGCTCGAGCCTCGAGCCAGGGGGCCCCTGGCAGGTGCCCCTGGTCTGCAAGTGGAGCCGGGCGGACGGCCTCGAGGTGCTGGCCTTCTTCTGGCTGCCGCCGCCGCAGCAGCCGGGGAGCGCGGACCTCGCCGTGGTCACCACGCAGGAGCCTCGGCGGCGCCCTGCCCGCTCGGGGAGGCGGAGTGGGCGGGGAGGAGACCTCGGAGGAAAGGGGGGAGGAGGGGGCGGAGGGCGGAAGAGGAGGCGGAGGCGGAGGAGGAGGAGGAGGCGGAGGAGGAGGAGGAGGAGGAGGAGGAGGAGGAGGATATGAGGAGGAGGAGGAGGAGGAGGAGGAGGAGGAGTGAGGAGGAGGAGGAGGAGAAGGAGGAGGAGGAGGGCGCAGTCTGCACACACACTGAGGTTCACTGCCACAGATTCTGCGTGGGCATTCTGCCCACGCGCGAGTACTGGCAGCAGAGCAGCTGTACCGTTCTTGCGCTTCGACATTCACAGCCAGCACTCCTTCCTGATTCAACACGTCCTACCTCCTCATTGCCACGCCTCATACCTATCTTAAACCGACTTTGAGAGACACCTAAGGTGCACCCTCCGCAAATACCACAGCCCAGGGGCACTCGGGTACTTAGAGACGTACCCCATTTTTGTCTTACCGCCACTACTCTTTCCTCCCATCACTGTTGCGCTATGAAGCCTCTCGTCTTTCGCTCCTGTTTCCGACGCTCTGGTGGTACCTCTCTCCAGCTAAGGTTCGAGGAGATCTTACAAAACCCTATATTAATAAATTTGCGGCTGATTAAGTCGTGGAAGGGGGGAGGTGTAAAGCTGGGGCTGGTGGGGTTTTGCGGGGACCGTGGTGGTGGTTCGGGGTTATCCTACAAAACCCTGGGTCCCAGCCCCAAATATTGCACGCTTCTCTGTGCAGGTAAGGGGTAAACCTTTAAAGCCCTCTTTTGCTAGGACACTGATTGGCCACAGCAGAACAAAGCTTGTTCCTTCCATCGGCAATACTGTCTTTCCCTATGCAGTTGTAAAGGTTTTCAGGTGCTCCTGAAGACCCTGGCCACAAATAGAGCACGCTTTGATACCAACGGGCCAGCCTGAACAGGCCAGAATTGCAAAAGACCTTTGCTCTTACTGTCATATTGGCTTACAAGGGTTCGTACTTAACCCGGGAATGACCGTACAAACAGCACGAGGGTCCTGGTACCGAGGGGGTTCGTGGTAAACCATAAAAGCCCCGGGCTGCATCCCAAGAGCTGCCACTTTGTTTTTCTTTCTAACTAAATGCTACCCACAGGCACCTCACGCAACTCACTCCCCTCTTTCACCGATCACCTCCCCTCCTCACTCCATGCCATATGCACTCACGGTAGTACTCTTAGAGAATGGTGAAACGTGCATACTCCATTTATGTGTTTCCAGTGGGCACTTTGGCGGTACAGCGCCACCTTTTTGCAGCTATCTCCCGTCATACGGCTAAGGCCAGCCAACATGCCGGAGCCAGCCTTACAAACCATGACCTGCCTTCTATGACTGATATTATGGAGTTGATGGAGTTTGCGGGTAGCTGTGGAGGATGGGACACTGGCTACATACCCAGCAGGAGCACTTTGCTGAGGCACAGCTGTCGAGACTGTTGCCGACACTCCGTCGCATTTGCGCTTTCTATTTGCTGCTGCTTGCCTTCCGAGGTGGCACTACCTACGCAACATTTTGGGGGCCAGGTCGTATTTCTTGATGGGATGTTCTTGGTTACTATTTACCAGCCTGGAACATATCCCTATCCCTATGTTTGACATCACCTCACTTCGATGCCGATCTTAAGGATTCCCTCAGTTTTTGAGGGCCTATCCCTAAGATTGTCCTCGCTTTTTGCTCGCCCATCTTAGGGATAGGGATACGTTCGAGGCTGGTTAACTATGGCTAGTGCCAACCTCGAGGACCTGGCGTGTGCCTGCTCTTTTTGTGCCATTATTGGCTTTCGCTTTTCTGATCTCAGTGTCCGCGGCGCCCGCCCGGTGGGCTTTGGCCCGAGTCGTACTCTATTGTTTTTTTCGCACTCCATGAACGCCGCAGGGAAACCCTAGGTCGGTCTAACGTAAGAAGGAGAAGGGGAAGGAAGAGGAGGAGGAGGAGGAGGAGGGGGAGGAGGAGGAAGAGGAGGAGGAGGAGGAACAGGATGAGGAGGAGGTGGAGGTGGAAGAGGACGAGGACGAGGAGGAGGGGTGATGATGATCATGGAGATGACGGTGACGAGGGTGATGATGATGAGGATGATGATGATGATGGTGATGATTGTGATGGTGGCGGTGGTGATGATGATGAGGGGAGGAGGAGGAGGAGGAGGAGGCGGGAGGAGATGAAGGAGGGAGGAGATAGGAGGAGGAGAGGGATGAGGAGGAGAGAAGGGGAGGAGGAGGAAGAGGAACGGAAGAAGCTGATGATGATGATGATGATGATGATGATGATGATGATGATGATGATGATGATGATGATGATGATGATGATGATGATGATGATGATGATGATGTTGATGATGATGATGATGATGATGCTGCTGCTGATGATGCTGATGATGATGATGCTAATGATGATGATGATGATGATGATGATGATGATGATGATGATGATGATGATGATGGTGATGATGGTGATGATGCTGATGCTGATGATGATGGTGGTAAGGATTATGGTGATTATCAGGATGATGGTGATGATGCTGACGATGATGATGGTGATACTGATGCTGCTGATGATGATAATGGTTATGATGATGATTATGCTGATGATGGTGATGACGCGGAGGCGGATGATGATGATGAGCAGGAGGAGCAGGAGGAGGAAGAGGAGGAGGAGGAGGAGGAGCAGGCGTTCCGTAGCCATTTGGGCTCAAGGATTTTGTTGCTCACAATCGTTACACGGTCGTGCCCCTTCTTGAGGTAGAGGGCTCTGTCGTACGGTATTGTATGCCGGGTAGTTCCAATATGCCGCACATCGCCATCCGTCATGGTCATTTTCTCGCTCGCGTGTCAAACCCCGAAGAGGCTGCTGACCTCATCAAGGAGCTGGAAGGAAATTGGACTGGCACTGGAGGCTCTGTTCTCGGACGCTTCGAAGGCACCTTCAAGCAAGCAGGTGGGGATCTGGGCCTAGAGCGGAAGGCCTCTACAGAAGCGGTAAGAAAAAAAGGCCTCTTAAGACGGGGCCAAGGAGACTTGGCCAAACGCTGGTGCAGGGCCCGTGCTTGCCGCCGTCTGGAGGCTCACCCCGATTCGCGCGTTTTCGACGAGACCTTGGAGGCGCTCACCAACCCTTTGAAGTCGGACTCCACGGCTTAGGGAAACGGCACCACTCCCACCAGCAGCACGGAAAGGGAGTTCTGACGAGGTCGCTTGGAATTGGGGCCAGACGCAAGGCCGTGCTTTCCAGTAGCTGCAAGGACAGCTTCTGGACATCAAGACTCTCCTCCTCGATGTACGGGCGGATGTTCTCAGTCAGACCCCGCCGCCTCTCGAGGGCGACACTGCCAAGGTCAACGATCACGAGACCGAGGTCGTCAAGCAGAGCGGCGTTTAGACAATGGCGAGTGTTGAGGGCCACGGATTGGAGGCCCAAAGCTACGGTTCCCCGTCGCATGGCCTCACGGGCTCCCTGACGCACGCGGAGCCCGAGTGGGAATTCCAACCGAGAGAAACCGGGAGGGGCAGCAGTTCTCGGAGCAGGTGATGCCATTTGCTGCCTCGCCAATTTCTCAGATACTGTCTCGGCGAACATCTTCGGCAGAGGCAAAGATTGCTCGGGTCAGCCAGCGTCCAACTTTGACGGCAATGGGGAGACTTCATGCTGCATTGGCCAGGGCAAATTTGCGGATGCGGGGAACAGCGAGGCCGCCATGAACAACAATTGCGCGGAGTTCTTTGACATGGGGGCCCTGGATTCCGATTTGTATCATGCCGCCAATGCCGCCGACCAGTTCGAATTGCCCCAGCCAGAGGCCGTCTGCAGTGCTGATTCAGACGTGCGTGAGAATGATGCGGTGCCAAGGGGTTTCGTTCGCACGAGGTTTCTCACGAGTGCTGGTCCTTCCCGCAAGGCCATCTTCTACATGTGTGACCGTAGGTGTGGCAAGGGCAGGATGGCTCTTCATTGCATCGAGTGCGCCTCGTGGGCTCACGTCGCATGATTCCGTCACGGACTGGCGGTAGTATGCAGCACGTGAGCAGGAAATAGAGGATGAGCCTTCACCTCTTTCCGGACCTCCTCCGCCCGCATCTGTTTCTCCCTTTGTCTCGCTCGTCTCCTTGCCATCTTGTTGCTGTTGCGTTGCGCGTGGCGGTTGAGGGGGGTTGCGAGAGCAAGTTGGCAGAGCTTCGAGGGCGGGTGCCTAGCGGCCTAACTCGAAACGAGGACGTTTCTCTCCTGTTCCTCCTTCCCTCTCTCTTTTTTACCCCTGCCCAAGTCCATCTCTCACCGTCGGCGAGCGGCAGCGCTTGTGGCGGCGCCTCCTTCGGTGCTTGTCGCCAGTCGCGTCTGGGTGGGCGGGCTGATGTAGGGGGGGGATTGGCGAAGGGGGGAAAAGGGGCAGGAACATGGCCTGGCCAGCGGCGCTCGGCTGGAGCCCGTGGTCCAGCAGCGAGGGTGAGCATGCAGAGTTTGCCTCGCCTCGCTCAGCTCCCCCTGCGTTCCTTCGGCCGGCCTGGGCCCTGGAGGTGGCGGGGGCGTCGGAGGATTTAGAGTATTCGATTGTGTGCGGCTTGTGTGTGTGTGTGTGTGTGTGTGTGTGTGTGCGTGGGGCGTTGCGTGTACCGGAGGAGAAAAGGGGGCCCCGCTGGCCCGCTCCACCTGCAACACCACCCCGAAGGGAACGTTTCTGTCTTGTGCGCGTGCATCGCCGAAAACCTTGCGCCGTTGAAGGGGGTGCCCAGAATAGTTAATCTAAGCCTCAAAGGGTTCAGATGGTGCAGTGTTGTGGGCGCCCCCTCTTTTCCCCTCCAGAAGAAGGGGCGCGTCTGGAAGCCGAGAAAATCAAGCAATTACAGGAAATTGTAGATTATTGGCGGCAGTTGAGGTCAGTTCTTAGAGTTCAGAGATCATGATGGAGATCGAGACTTTCAGGACGAACGCGTTGTCCTAGGAACAGAGGCCACGACATTTCCCCTTCTTTCTTCCCTCCATGGGTCCTCCCTCTGCTCCCAACCGTCCCAGCCCTGCTCTCAGTTCCCCGCGTGCGCCAGGACGGCGAAGGCCAACTCCGCCATGTGACAGTCCATGTAAGGGGTCCACCAGAGTAGTTGCTCGGCTGGCCTCTTAGCTTGAGTGGCCTCCTGATGTGGTTTCCATCGAGCCTTGGCCTCCAGCTTCACCTGGCCTCTGGGCATAGCGAGGTAGCTTTTGGACCCTTTGTCCTTCCTCCTTCCTCCGCCCCCCCCGCGCCGAACCGACGACGCCAGCGAACTGCCGTCGGGCGCGGGGGTCTAGGCGGGGCACGGGGAGGAGCAGCCGCAGGAGAGGTTTAAGGGGGACAGTGTTTCCTCCCCTCCCTTTTTCCCTTCTTTGTAGTCCCGTGTGCCTCGCGTGGTGGACTATCTTGGCTTCTGATTCTGATTCTGATCCTGATTCTGAGGGGGAGGAGGAGGAGGAGGAGGAGGAGGTGGTAGAGGAGGAGGAGCGGGAGGAGGAGGTGGAGGAGGAGGAAGGAGGAGGTAGGAGGAGGAGGGGAGGAGGGGAGGGAGGAGGAGGAGGAGGAGGTAGGAGGAGGAGGAGGGGGAGGAGGAGGAGGTGGAGGGTGTCTGGAAGGCCGCGGCGCCGCAGCGGCATCCGTTCCCGGGGGCCGGGGCCGGGCGGAAGGGGGGGGGAAGGGTCGGGGGAGGGTCGGCGGCGCGCCGGGGGCGCGGGGGCAGTGGGGGTGAGTCGCAGGTCCGTCGACTGCGCGAGGACCAGGGCGAGGACGAGAGGGGGCGGGGGGGGGGTCGGGGGAGAGGACGACGGGGCACGGGGCCAGGGCGAGAACGGGGGGGGGGGTGGAGCGGGGGAGGGCGGCGGCGCGCCAAGGGGGGTGGGGGCGGCGAGGGAGATCCGGGGAGGCCTCGGCGCGGCAGCGGGGTCGGGGCCGCGGCCGGACCGGGAGCGGGGAGAAGGTCGGCGTTTGGTCTCCCCGCGGCCCCCCCCCAAAAGCCAGCGTTTGGTTTCCCCCGCGGCCCCCGAGGAGCCGCGCGCGAGAGGTCGCTCCTACCCATGGTCGCTCCTGCGTGTGGTCGATTCCAGGAAGGAGGAGGGGGGGCGAGGGATCTGTGGGGGAGTGAAGTGAGGGAGATGGGGGAAGGCAGGCGCTGGCGGCGCGCGTTTGGCGGGCAGAGGGGGACGCTCGTGGGGCGTCGCGCGATGGGGGGGCGATGCACGAGGGAGCAGCGAGGGCTGCAGAGAAGGGGCCCTTTCGGACCCCTGCAGGGGCTCTGTGGGGGAGGGGGCCTTTCGGGCCCGAAAAGTGCACCTTTCTTCTCTCAGCCACGCGCAGAGGGGGGTGAGGGGAGGGGGGAGGTCTTCTTAGAAGCACCCCTGCTTCTTAGAAGGCGCGGGCCTTATCTGTAGATGTAAGGCCGGCGCCTTCTAAGAAGCAGCCTCCTTCTAAGAAGCCCTCACCCCTCCCTCCACCCCCGTGTGCGCGCCGCCAATTCTCCCCCGGGCATCGCCCCCCCACCAAGCGACGCCCAGTTCGGGTTCGAGGTTCTCGGGCGTCTTCGTCATTCTGGGCCGGCTTCCATCCTCGGGGTGCACTTCACCGGCTGCGCCTCGCCGAGGGCGTTCCGGGCATGCCTGGATGGCCCCGAACGGCCGCCAGAGGGCGGAGTATGATCCAACCACCAGGCGTCGACGATCATTGAAGGGGCAGGCCTTCTCAGAAAGCGGCGGGGCTTCTCAGAAACACTCTGGCCTTCTGAGAAGCCGTCTCCGTCTTCGAAAAATGCTCGGACAACTTATCAGAAGGCTGGAGGCGTCCCGAGCCTTCCGAGAAGGCTCGCCCCCGCTGCATTCCTCCCCGGGCCCGCCGCCGACAAGGGGGGTACAATTTTTTCTTCTTTTCCCAGTTATTTATCGCTTCGCCCATTCCGCCGGCCCTGGAGCGCTTTTTTTGGCCTCTTGGGGCCGCCTTGGGGGCCTCTTGGGGGCTTTTTGGGAGCGTCTTGGGGCTCCTTGGCGGCGTCTTGGGCTCCCCTGGGGCCTCTTAGGGGGCTCTTGGGGGCCCCTTGGGGCGGGAGGGGGGGCAGTCGATTGCAGCCACCCCCTCAGAGGCCACGATCCTCGTGAGTGGTGGCGAAAAATAGCCTCCCCCCTGGGGATCGCCCGGGACCCAGCCGGGGATCGGCCGGGGTACTTTTCGTCCGGGGGCCCCCAGGGGCCGCCCCGCGCGCGCGAACTAGAAATAATGTTAAGTAGTTACCGGAGATCTTAGCACGCCTTTGGCCTGTTGGGCTGGCGAATTGTGCGACTGGAGCGCCGTTCCTCTAGCTCATTGTTTCTTTGACGTTGAGGACTTCACCATTTTTCGTTCCATGTTTTTTTCAAGTCGGAGCGTTTGACGTGGCCCCGCTTCTGGATCGGCGCTTCGCGCCCGTGGCTCCGAACAGCGCTGGCGCTCCACCTCGTCGCTCTCCCCGCTCGTTTTTTCTCCCCTTCCGTGCCCTCCCCCCGCACGCGTGACGCGGCGGCCCAGACTGACACGTGCGGCTAAAACATTGGACCAACACGGCCCGGAGCCCGGAGGTGTGGATGGTTGAGATAAATGCTGAGAGAGATAAGCCGTGCAAGAAATAAGCCACAAGCCATACGAGGAAACAAGCCACACGAGAAATGAGCCATGCGAGGATTGACGCGATGGAAACAGATGAAGCAGACGACTTGTAACAAGAAGGAGAACATGGAAATCATCCTGCCAAGGATCGGGGGGACGTAAGACTCGGGTAAGCCGGAACTCGGGTTTGCCGACGTCTTTTGACGAGCGCGTCCTGGATTTTGACGGTCCAGTTCTCGTGGGATGTCTGCAGTGGGAGCTCGCGTCAGATTTCAGATGGCGTCTCGTCATTTTTATGATGGACCCCGTCAGGCCAACCCGCGTCCCCAGTACTCGGGCGAAGAGAACTATGCACATGCATCGATCCTGGCAAGGCCCATCCTTGACCCAGGATCGGTGCATATGCCTTCCTGGCCAAGGCAGGAGGGCGTATGCACCGATCTTGGGCTCAGGATGGGCCTGGCCAGAATCGGTGCATGTGCACAGTTCTTTTTCCTCTACAGTACCCGAGTCTTACGTCTCCCCGAAAGGAAGGTCGTCTCACCACGCGCCGAGCTCGCCCGACCGCGCCCGCTCGCGCCGGCCTCGGGCCCGTCCGGGAGACGGCCTCCCTCCCGCCAGCGGCCCGCGGCACCCCGGCCGGGCCACGAGAGGCCCTCCACGAGGAGCCTGCAGTCGGGGAGTGGACCTAAGGAACCCTAAATAAGGAACGAGGCTCCTCCTCCTCCTTCTCCTTCCTCCTCCTCCTCCTTCTTCTCCTCTTTCTCCTCCTCCTCCTCGTCGTCGTCGTCCTCCTCCTCCTCCTCCTCCTCCTCCTCGTCCTCCTCTTCCTGCTCCTCATCTTCCCCCTCTTTTCCATGAGTTAAACTTCGATTTCCCATGCAAAAACCTAAGGGGAGCCCGAGGCAAGCTGTAAATCAATCAAGGAACACCGAGCCCCTCCCCAACGAAAAGGGTTCCTTCTTCAGGGCCCCGACTGTAGCCCTGAGACCCCAGGGCGTCCATCGATCTTTGGCGTGGGAGCGGCACGCTCTCCATCGCAGAGCCGTCGAAGCCCAAGAGCCCAGGGCACCCTGGAGGCGAGCAGGGTGTCCCTTGGCATCGGGCGGAGAGAACTATGCACGTGCACCGATCCTGACAACGCCCATCCTTGACCCAGGATCGGTGCATACACCTTCCTGGCCAAGCTAAGAGGGCGTATGCACCGGTCGTGGGCTCAGGATGATCCTGGCCAGAATCGGTGTATGTGCACAGTTCTCTTTCCTCAATGGCATGGGTCTCCACTGTGGGTCACCTCGATGACCAATGGGCTGGCCTCCTTTGACGACCTCGACGCCTGCGAGGAGCAGGACCCGTTCGGGCTTGGCGCCTCCCTGAGCGAAGACGGATGTAACGATTTCCCGGAGGTAGGACGAGGAGGAGGAGGAGGTAGGACGAGGAGGAGGAGGAGGTAGGACGAGGAGAAGGAGGAGGAGCAGGAGGAGGAGGAGCAGGAGGAGGAGCAGGAGCAGGAGCAGGAGCAGGAGCAAGAGCAGGAGGAGGAGGAGAAGGAGGAGGGGGAGGAGGAGGAGGAGGAGGAGGAGGATGAGGAGGAGGAGGAGGAGGAGGAGGAGGAGGAGGAGGCCTCCCAATATCAGAGCAGAGGCGACCACAGCGACCACCGTGATCACCACGACGTGAGCCAGCCAAGACTCCCTAACGACCAGGCTGTAGCCGCCCACGGTCGATTGGACCTGGCCGTCACCATCAGTACCCCCTCACCGCCAGGCCAGATTCCCCTCCCACCAGGGTGCGGGGAGCAGCTAACAGCCAGTGATTGCCGTCGGAACAGTGAGCGGTGCGACGGGGACCCAGCGCATAGACCGTAGGCAATCTGTCGCGCAGCACCTCTCAGCGGCCAGTCGGCAGCCAGAGGGCGACAGCGAAACGAGCGGGCCAATTGCCTTTTCCAGTCCCTCCAGCACGTCCAGGAACAGTTCGCTCTTCTGCTCGAGAGGTTCCACCGAGCGCAAGCCGCCTGGGACGGCCCCCGCCAGGCTGTCCGCCCTGCCGCTCCTCTCGGGACGTCCGCCCAGGACAGCCTGCAGGCTTTCCTTGCTGCGCAACGCGCGGCACATCAGTGCTAGCGCCCCGCTTCTCCCGGTGGGCTCCGCAAACAGCCGACTCCTCGTCTGTTGCCCCCCTTGTTCGGGCCGCCGCGGGGGTTTCCCCAGGGTGGCGCCGCCACTGCCTGGGCGCCCTGTCGCGCCTGCGAAAGCGTGTGTGCACCCAGCGTCTCCCTGCCCGTGGGCCTGCAGAAGCGCCCCCATCACCGCTTCCCGCCCTCCCGCCCTCCCGTCCCTGCCTTCCAGCTGGGGCCACCACGGACGGCGCCAGGGCGGAGGGCAGCCTGCCAGCCCCTGCCCGCACGAGCGGCACCCCCCGCCACGTGAGCTTGGCGCGGCGGGCGCTGGCAGCCCGCGCGCCTGGGCGGACACTCCTCCTGACCTGTTACGATCTCCCTGCATCCCGGCTCTCGCCTTTCGTCGTCCTCCTCCTCCTCCTCCTCCTTCCCTCCTCATCCTCCTTCCTCCTCCTCCTCCTCCTCCTCCTCCCCTCCTCCTCCTCCTCCTCCTCCTCCTCCTCCTCCTCCTCCTCCTACTCCTCCCCTCTC